ATTATAATAAACCCAGTAAAGAGACAATCCTTATCTATGAGTAAGTTATACCAAAATCAGTGGGACTGCCTTTTATTTAGATATTCGTCCTATTTTTATCCCACCTTTTCCTCTAGGAACTCAATGGGGTTTTTATAAAACAACTGAACAGACCCTTGGTACTTCCCAACAGGTCGTGAGCGGTTTCTTGCAAGGGGGAGAAGATACGACTTAGTGGAGGTGGAGGAGATGAAGGGTGTTTTCTGGGGCCGGGGTGTGTGTCAAAGTGCGGGGTAGCTCTCCGTGGGGAGGAGAGGGCTTGTAAAACTGCAGGGCAGATCCATCTTGGGGAAAGCTGGGGTAGGTCTCTCCCAGCTAGGAGAGCCAGGCAGAGCCTCCCTCACCAGGAGCAGTCTATCTGTGTGTACCTTGGTTGGCCATCCTTTGAGCCCTCTTGATGGCCACGCTGTGTTGGTAACTATAGTCAGCCAGAGTTACTTTCCTGGGATCCCAGCTGCCGGCTGCTCTGATTTCCACGCCACTGCCCCCCCACTGAAGGGGTGTGTGTGTCCATGGTCATGTCCCCCGCCCTCCATCAGGGCCCTTGAAAGGAAGCCATTTAGTCTGAGGGACTCCCTCAGCAGGTGGAGTCCACTATTTTCTTAGCATACGGACTTATCGCGCACCCCCAGCGTCCCCTGTGTGTTTTGCCTCTCACACAAGTCCACCTTTGGACACGACTTGTTCTTTACCCCTTTTTCGCTGCCACCGGAGTATATTATCCCCACTTATATCAATGATGAGTCTCACACTCTTGCTGCCAAATAAAACAAGATTTATTTAAGGATAATTAAGTTAATCACAGAAGGAAAATTATGGATGCTCTATTATCTTTCATTCATTAAAACGTGAATTTGATTACTTAAAAGCTATCTTGTACTCTTTTACTTTAATCACAGTCTCAATATATGCTTTTCATTCATTAAAACGTGGATTTGATTACTTAAAAGCTAGATTGTACTCCTTTACTTTAATCACAGTCTCAATATATGCTGCCTGTCTATCTACTTCTAATTCCTTTTAACTTGTTAATATTCTCTAACTAACTAAGTATCAAATATCTTATCTAAATACTTGTCAGGCTTCTCTCTGTCTAAACCCTCGATGGAGCAGGAGTGGCGTGTGGGCTGTCCGACACAGTACTGTGTTTTATCTTTGGGGAGGTGGGAGGTGACCCTCCTAGGTGGGGTTTGGAGAAGGGTGAACCAAGGGGGCAAACGCCATCTCAGAAGGTCCTCCTGGAGAGCAGAGTGGTTCTGTCATGGAGGAGACTGCTTTAGTGGTGGATGCCCAGTTGACCCTCCCAAGGGCGAGCCATCCCCACAGGAATTTACTGTGGCAGAGGAGGGCCTGGCCTCCGATGGTGGTGAGGGCAACCACGGTCTCGTCTCAGCACAGCCGCCGGCAATGTCTCCAACAGAGGAGGTTGGCCCAGTGGAGATGCCCGTGGCTGCCCCACCCAGCCCGGAGAGGTGTAGGAAAATGGAGAACATCACAGGAGCTGCTGAAAGTGGTCCTCCGAGTCCGTTAGAAGAACCCGGGATGCTTTCCAAGTCAGCACAGGAGAGACAATGGGCAAGGGATGGAGAGGGTGTGGATGAGGAGTGCCCAGAGAGGGTGCCCACGATGCGGAAGGAGAGGAGCCATTGGGCATGGAAGAGGCCACCCCAGGGGAGGAAGGAATGGAGAACATCACAGGAGCTGCTGAAAGTGGTCCTCCGAGTCCGTTAGAAGAACCCGGGATGCTTTCCAAGTCAGCACAGGAGAGACAATGGGCAAGGGATGGAGAGGGTGTGGATGAGGAGTGCCCAGAGAGGGTGCCCACGATGCGGAAGGAGAGGAGCCATTGGGCATGGAAGAGGCCACCCCAGGGGAGGAAGGAAGGACGAGAAGGCCCACGATGCGGCAGGAGAAGAGCCATTGGGCGTGGAAGAGGCCACCCCAGGGGAGGAAGGAAGGACGAGAAAGCACATAGGAAGCAGGCAGGAAAAGCTTTCCAGGAAAGCTCTCAGAGAACGGGACCGTAAAGAGAGAGAGAGAGGAGGACAGTAGCTCCGAGGATTTGGGCCCAGCCTTGGCGGAGGTGCCCATCGAAGGGGCACAGCCTGGCAAGGAGCAACCCAAAAGTCCAGACGCTCCTGCAAGACCAGCAGAGGCGCCTGGCACAGGTTTGCCACCACGGAATAGCCAACGGGCAGTGGCCTCGGCTGGAGTCTCCCAAGGAGACACCGAGGTGCAGACGGTCATGCCAGCATCCTCCTCCCGTCAGCATCCGGGTCGCCATTCCACTGCGCAGGGCCCACCTCTAAACCGTGTGGCTAATGCTGGCCGGGGTGGAGAGGGGGTGTCCGGTTTGAGGAAGGAGGCAGAGGTGCTTTATGGCCATGGCTGCCCAAGAAAGTTTTCAGGGGGGGACCTCCCGCTTCAATTCCTTGAAATGTGAGGAATCCTGGAGGAATCCGCAGGTTTTCTTCCCAGAATGCATGTGTCTGTCGTTGCCGCCCCCCGCGGGGGATCCTTGTGCCCCCTCCATCCTGCAGGGGCAGGATGGCTCCGGTGGAGTCACCCGTCACACCCTTGGCAGTCGATCTGGTCTGTGCCAGGGCAGAAGCTGGTGCCTGTGAGGTCCAGTGCGTGCCCCCTGCTCACAGACTGAGGATCTGGACCCTTTTAGCTGCTCTGTGTCCTATTCCCACTTTCTTAGGTTTTCCTCTGGGGAAAAAAAGATATGGTGCTGCAGTGTACTATTCTGGATGTTTCGTTCCCTCCTTCCTCCGAACATCTGCATGAAATATCAGGGAGGGATATTAGAGTGAAGGGCAAGAAATCTCGTTATAACCAGGATTCAATGGTGTTGTTTTTCTCCAGAGACACGGCAGAGAATGCACACTTTTTCTCCCTTCTGGCCCTTATTTATGTGGCAGTTTTTAAAAGCACGGTTTTGATCTAAATCAGGGAGGAAAACTTCATATTGCTAATTTTTAAAGGATCTGCATCTCACGCCATCTCAGCCTGAAAGAATCATGGGAGTTGTAGTGTGAAAAAGCAGAAGGGGCAAGGATTCCAAGTCAGCAAGGTACAAGAGAGCAGGACCGTGGACGTGAGCCAGAGAATGGAGTTGTTGTTTCCACAGATTTCCAAGCCTTCTAAGTACAAATTATAGAGGAACAGTGACAATGCGCTAATTGCGGAATGTTATGGACCCTAGAGGGCGTAGCTTTCACCAGAGGTTAAAGGCAATCCAAGAAGATATGAAGCAGACAGACAGCTTTGCAATGCAAACTTATATTGAATATTGTAGCATATACATCCAGCATTATCCATTTAGTACAGTCCTAGGTCATTCACAGAGTGGCAATTAGTCAGTCCGTTTTACCAAGCCAATAAATCAGAGTTCCGTGGCGAATACAAAGCCATGAATCCGTCCAGAAACATTTCCTCATTCTTCTCCTGTCGATCCACGCCCCACACGATTGAGTATACTGGAGCTGTTAGCTTTATCTACCTCTTCAGACGGTGATGTGCAGCTTATTGAAATCCCGCTCCAAGTTTGCAAGACACGGCTCCTCCGGCAGGATGTCTCCCAAGGCGCACCTCCGGCCCCGCACCTCACGCAGAAGGCTCTCCAGATGTTCATCCATGGAGGCCAGCTGTTGTGCATAAGCTTGCTGGATCTGATTGTACGCAGGCTTGCAGGAGCTGGATTTCACTTGGATGCAGGCAAGGGCCTGAGGTGCTGCGCATGTGGTGCAAACATCCGGGTCGATCTCTGTGCCACACTCCTGGTTTGCCTGCCCGGGAGCGAAAGAGAAAAAAACATTGGTTTGTTCATTCGTTCGTTCATTCATTTCACTTGTATACTGCACTGGCCAGTTTACAACCAGAATTAAACTAACATAAAGTAAAACAAATGGGTTGAAAAGCAAGCGGTTGCTTCTGCTTATGGACATGTTTTTAAATCAAATTAGTGTGGCAGGATTTGTTCTTGAGAAATCCTTGTTGGCTTCTAGTTATTACTGCACTGTTTTCTAGTTGGCTTCCTACTGACCATTCCATAATCTGTTCCAGACTTTCCCCTGGGAATGATGTCAGGCTGACTAACCTTTAGTTTCCAGGTTCCTCTTTTTGCCCTCTTTAGAGATTGGACCAACATTAGCCCTCCTCCCATCATTTGGCACCTCACCTGTTCCCCATGATAATAATAATAATGGACAGCGCTTCTGAGGATTCTTTGGCCAATTCCTTCAGTACTCAGCCCTGGAGAGGTGAACTTGTTCAGGGTGGTAACGTCTGCCTTGACTATTTGTTTATCAATCCCCAGCTGGTCTGCCTTGACTATTTGTTTATTGATCCCCAGCTGCAATCCTGTCCCTCCCCCCTTGCACTTCACCTTTGTCTGGAGGCTCACAGTCTGGGAAACGACTGAGCTAAAATAGGAATTGAGCCACCGCTGCTTCTTCTATGTCATCATTTTTCTATTTTCATAGAGTAGCTATGCCACTATTTCTTTTCTTTGTCTTTTGCTATGCAAGTAACTGAATAATGCTTTTAAAAATTGATTTTAGTGTCTCTAGTTAATCTCAGCTCATTCTTAGCCTTTGCCCTCCTAATGCCACTTCTGCATTTTCTTGTTACTTGCCTGGTGACCTCGCCTTCTTTGGACCTCCTATACATGCCTCAGGTCGTTCCTGAGCTTTTTGTGAAGCCACGCTGACCTTTTTTTTGCTGCCTCCCACCTATTTTTCTCGTTGGAATTGTTTGTAGCTGTGCTTTTAGAATTTCTTTTTAAAGAAACTTTCACTCTTCTTCAACTCTTTTTATTGTTAGGATCTCCTGCCATGGGACCTTACTCATTGTTCTTCTGAGTTTATTAAAATTGGTTTTTTAAAAAATCCAGCCTATATGTATGTGGCTACACTCTGCTATGGTTTCCTTTTTGAAATCAAGAATTCTAGTAGAACATGGTCACTCTCGGAGAAAGTTTCCCCCTTAGTGCCACTTCCTCCATCAAGCCATTTCTATTGGTTAGAATCAACTCAAGGATAACTAACTAGTCCTCTAGTTTCTTTCTCCACTTTTTGTAGGAGGAAATTATCGGTCGCCCAAATCAGGAAGGACCATGCTTAAGAGAATTTACCCTTCCAACAGATATTCCGGTAACTGAAATCTCCCATCATTATTACTACATCGTGTCTCTTTGACGGTCTTGCAATTTGTTTATCAAAAGTTTCATCCACTTCCTCTCCTTGATTGGTAGCTGGGAGTCGACTCCAACTAATTGATCCAGATGCTCTCAATGGGACGTCCAATCTCCTCCTTTATTTCTCTGCAGGAATGTGTATTTTTGACATATCCTGAAACTCCGCCTCCCTTCTATTCTTTCTGTTCTCTTTGAACAACTTATATACTTCCATTGCTGTCTTCCAGTCGTGGGAGTCATCCCGCTAAGTTATTTCTATCAAGAGAATAATTGGTAGAAATCTGTTATTGTTGTAGCAACTTCCTTGTAACGAATTCAGGATCCAGGTGCTCGAAAAACAGCAGAAAACATAAAAAATACAGTAAGCTTGGCCAGAAAGACTTTACATCAAAATGCAATGTATAAGCGATAAACAGAATTGAAATGGAACCTATAGAAATTCTATGCAAAGGGGTTAGATAAGGAGAAAAGGATTAGAAAGGAGAAAATGTTGCTGTAACCCTACCAGAATCTAAAACTTCAACGGTCTCTTGGGATTAATTCAGAGGAGGTTTGCAAAAGTTTTACAATTCAGGGGCTTGGTTCAGCTACCTGGGATTTGAACCCCAGGTCGTGAGCACAGTTTAACTGCAGTACAGCGTTTTAACCACTGCGCCACGAGCCATTGCGCCAGATTGCATCAAAATGCAATGTATAAGCGATAAACAGAATTGAAATGGAACCTATAGAAATTCTATGCAAAGGGGTTAGATAAGGAGAAAAGGATTAGAAAGGAGAAAATGTTGCTGTAACCCTACCAGAATCTAAAACTTCAACGGTCTCTTGGGATTAATTCAGAGGAGGTTTGCAAAAGTTTTACAATTCAGGGGCTTGGTTTTATCCAGGCAGGAAGCTGTTTGTATAAATAAAAAGCTGGTTCTGCGTCCCTTTTGACCTCCAGCACAGCTCACTCTGCACGAAGTCAGCATGGCGATCGCTTCTCTGTCTTCTGGTTCTTGCTGGCTTGCTAGGATCCTTGGCTACCGAAGGTAAGAAATCTGATGAGACTGGACAGTGTACCTGCATTAAACCCTTATAGCAGTTTGATTCCACTTTATTTAATTGTTTATTAACATTTTATGAGTTTTCACTATAGCTACATTTAGGTCATGCTTGTTCAACATTGTCTTACATGGGCTGCTTATAATTATTCATTTTTGCATCTTAGTTTCTTAGTTGTCTCTTCAAAATGTATACATTTCTAAAAAGCATTTGAACCATTCATGTGTGCATTTTAGTGTATAATGTTCACTTCTGTCAGAATATTGCTCTCATACGATGTTCTTGAAGTATGTTATCAAAATCCTCTTTATATAATTGTTTAGCCATTTCTATCTCCACAGTTTCTGTCATGTCTATATCAATATCATATCTAATATATGTTAATTAAGTATTATTTGTTTTACCCCTTTCTTATATCTATCTTCAATTTACCTTAAGACCCACCTTGTTATTCCTGTATCCTGATCAGTGATCCTTTATTTCAGATTGCTTCCCTTTTCTAATATATAAGACATGTCCCCTTACAATTCCAGAAGTTAGGTGTATACATGCTTTTGCCTCTTTGTTGTGGGATTTCACTATTTCTAAAATTGCTTGAAGGGTAGATTTTGTTTCATCCCAAAATTTTCCTTGTTGTAACATGATATACCAAGATTGTGTTCCAAGTAAAAGTTGTCCAATTGCTTAATCAGTCCAATTTCATCAAAAATTGATTCAAAACATACACTTCAATAGCTTGATCATCTTTAGGGTTACATTTGAGCCCACTTTAGCTGCTGGGGCTCCACCCGAAGGGATGTAGTTTGGGGAGAGACTGAGCATTTTCTGCTTGAGAGCTCTCTGGCTTTTTCCCCAAAGCCTAGATGGGCATTTTAAGGGTTTCGGCAAAGAACAAAATCCCGGGCGTCTGTTTTTCCCCCAAAGCCTAGATGGGCATTCTAAGGGTTTTGGCAAAGAACAAAATCCTAGGCGTCTGTCGGATGGACCGCACCAGCTGTTGGTGAGAAAACAAGGGCTCATCACAGACATACCCATAGATGTACTGATGGATAGATATATTACCGTATTTTTCCATGTATAAAACTATACTTTTGTCTAAAATCTTTAGACTAAAAATTGAGGGTCGTCTTATATACGGAAGCTGAAGAGAGAACAAAAACAAGTGGAGGGGAAAGCAGGGATCAAAGCGATCCTGCAGCGCTTTGATCCCTTTCCCCCTACACTTGCTAAGCCCCATTTAAATTTCTTAACTTTGGATTAGAAAGGGGGGGTCTTCTAAATGGGGGCATCTTATACATGGGAAAATATGGTAAGTTGTCTTTTTTACTTACAGGGCAGTAATGAAGGTGGAGGAACTGAGCCTTGGCCCCCAGGGCAGCAGAATTTAGAGAGTGTCAAAACCCAGAGGGGCATCTAAATGTGAATGTTAAAAAATAAATAAATAGCACTCCCTCCGGGCTCTGTCCACTTCCCTTTTAACAAAAGCATAAACGTTTTTATTTTGTGGGGGACCCAACTTTTTCATCCTTGTTCCTGGAGGGGGGTTCCTGCCCATGCTGCAGGATGATGGAGTGGATGAGAGTCGGTGCAACTCTCCCTGGGTGTCAGAACAGAAAATTCTACTTCTGTCTGCAGCCGAGGTGAGGAGAGGTCGATTGTGTATACAGTAAATGTTACGTGGAGGCAGGCTTCAGGAAAGGCAGGAGTGTAATAGATCAAGACATTGTGTAATAAGCAAATACACTAAACCGCCTTACAAATATTTTTATGTCTCCTGTCAGCCTTTGACCTGACAGATAGAGATTGACGATGGTGTAAACTGGCGAAAACAAACATTGATAGGAGACTCCTGTAGCTTATACAGCAGTTGCACACAGAAAATACGATGCAGACTGAGGTTCTGATTCTGGCTCTAGGGTGAAGCAGTGTTTGTGCCTCTCTGCCTTAAATAGTTTTAATCCGTTTTAAATAGTTCTTAAATAGTTTTAATCAGTTTTAAAAAGTTTAAACGGTTTAACTTTTTAATGTTTTTAATTGCTCCAACCTTTCAGTTTTTAATCTTGGCTCTGGAAAATCTTTTAACCTTTTTGGTAGTTGCAGCAAGATCCTATAGGGAGTTGGCCTCCCAAGCGGGGAGAAGCCCTAGGAGATTAGCCTGAGCCTCCTCTCACTCTCAAACCAACAATAACTGCTCCATCCAGCCATAGCACTGAGCTGGAAGACTATTAAAAGCAGAAAAAATAATCTTCAACAAGGAACGAGACTAAAGAGATGAGGAAGATCTTCTGGCTCTGCTTGGTGAATCAACTGCTATTTAAGAGACAGCTGAATAAAATGCTGAGCAAAGCCATCTACAGAGGACCTATTGGGAACATTGGGAATATCAGAAGACCAAGAATACGATCAGCTGTGATGGGGCAGAAAAGAATGTTCCCTTACATGGGAAGTGAGGCAGCAAATCTAGACCCCCATAGCCATTTAGGAAAACCTCATACAAAAACTAAATCCAATTCTCGTTTGCATTTTCCGTGAAGATTCTCAGAAACTGTAAAACCAATCTAAACCATGGTTTAACCATAGCTGTGCATCAGCACAACATTTATTAAACTGGCAGTTTCAACAATGCCAACGATTAGAAGGTCAGGCCAGAAGTGATGCCCTCTGAAAACTTTTGATATACTGTATATAAACTGCTGATACAACAAGCTAAGAAAGAATATACAGTGGTGCCTCACATAACGAGCGCACCGTTTAACGATGAATTCGCAAAGCAATCTGTTTTTGGGGATAGCTAATGCGATCGCATACCAATGTCTAGATAGGCAAAAACTCATTTTGCGACAATCGGTAAGCATTTCGCTTACCGATTTTCGCAAAGCGATTTTTAAAAATCAGCTGTTCGGAGGTTCCAAAATGGCCGCTGGACTCCCAAAATGGCCGCACGCAGCGTTTTCGCGCCCTGCCCTCGTTTACCGAGGGCACGAAAATGGCTGCCGGATGGGGAAACATCGCATAACGGTGAGTTTTGGAGCCATAGGAACGCATTAAACTAAGTTTAATGCGTTCGTATGGCGTTTTCAGTTCCGTATAGCGATGTTTCCCCATAGCGACGGTTAATCCGGAACGGATTAACCTCACTATGCGGGGCACCACTGTACCAGAAAACTCTGGGGACAGTTAATTGAAGCAGCTAAAGATAAAAAACCATCCTTTGGGGGTTTAATCTCAGGTAGATCCTTGTATACCAGCAGACAAATGGGTCTCCTTTTTTTGCAAAACTGTATGAGGATGCTATTCAACATTCCTCTCTAACAATTTTAGAAAGCACCACTAAATGGCCTGCTGTAATCCCAGGAGAGATTTGATCATATATAAAACAACTAAAAAATGCCAAAGCCCTTGGGCCAGACAGCATTCCACCAGAATTCTTAAAAGAAAATAAGGAGT